CTTTAATGATGATTTTCATCCAAAAAAAAATAAAAAAATAAAAAATTGTTAACGTGCTTTAAAAAGAGGATCAAATTCGTATTTTGGCATTGCATATGAGTTTTTTTAATTCTATTTTGAAGAAATTTTGGAGAGAAACCATAATGGGTAACAATTTATGTTAATTTGAGAATAAGAATGCGATGAGAAAAAGACACATAAAATATAATTAAAATGTAATTTAGTTATTAAAAATCGTGTTGTGAATAGCATAAAAACTAGCCTTCTAGGGTAATTTCATTCGAATTTTATGAGGGTGGCCTTTTTTTGTTACCATATTATAAAATTTAGTATGTAAAGTCTAAATTTAGAAAACACGGTATATAAAATGTAAATACACCATATTAAAAGGTGCATTTTATAAATTTTCCATTTTGTGAACTACTCAACCATCTTTGAAATAGCATATATGTCCGAATGAGAGAGCTTAAATTACATGAAATTCATATATAGAGATTCAAATGCTACATAAATAGACGGTTGGAGATCGGAACATTAGAAAGTTGGTTGGAATCTAAGCCCCTGTTTGGTCCCCATTTTTTAGAAATGAAAATGGGTGGAATAGTGTTTTTTCTGAAAAATAAGTGGTTGAAAAAGAATGAAAAATTTTTGGTTTATGTGTAATATTATTTTATGAAAGATTGTATGATTGAAAATAAGATAAAGAAAAATAAAATTTAATGGGGGCCAAACGAGGGCTAAGCAGTTCCTCATGTAATAGTTAAGAACCTCGAATAATGTATGTAGCTTTCAAATTCATAATGGATTGACTAGTTCAACTTGAAAAACATAGGCCACTCTATAAATCGGTTCGAGTGAGTATGTTCGACCAATATGTAGCTAAATTGGTCAAGAACTCGTCAAAATCCTAGTAAACCGTGTGTGTAATGAAAGCTACTGACTCATTGAGTTGATTAATTCTTAATATTAATTCAACTTGTTATCCATATGTTGGATTTCTTGACATTTGACACGTAAATTTCAAATTTGACTACTAAGTGCGTTTGCTTCATTAATTTCAAATCTTTCCATTTAAACTTGTACAAATTTTGAAAAATCCGGTTCAGAATATGTTAAACTGCAGTTACTAAATATGAATGGGTTGCGGGTGGGTTAGGTCTTCCTTGCTGTTTGGTCTAACAAAGACAGTAGTTGACTTTCCTCGATACCTTTGTGGGCATAGCAAGTTGGATTATTATGGCAAAATTCTATTTTTAAAAGGCATTCTACACTGAGTTTATCCAATTGTGTTTGGAATTTCAGATTTTGCGAACTGATGACAAAAGAATTTGGTTCCCAATAAGTTGGAGGCTGTTTCTGGTCATGGTGGTGTTCAGGGGTGGAGCCATGGCAGTTGTCCGTGCTAGCTTCGTCAAAAAAAATTTCCATCCATATATTTTGCGATCGCTTGCGCTCATTTGCATTCTCCGTTTCACTCGATTTATTGGATTTGCCACTGAACTGATGGTATTGCATGGATTATTTCGATGCTATAGATAATTAATATTTGTGGATAGAAGTCTGGAAGACGGTGATTTTGTGAAGTGTTTAGATTTGCAAAAGATACATAAATTGTAGCAAGGGGTAAACAAGATTTATCATAGTACGTAATATAGCATAGGGTATATTTTACATTTTTGTAAAATTACATACAATATAACATGATTAAAACATTTAATTTACAAAAATTCATAAAAACAATACATGTACTCTAACTTGTTTAAAAAATTACATATATTGCATTTCAATGGAATCCCGTCCTTATTTTAAAAAGTACGATTAGACAGAGAATAGCCATTCAATCAATGCT